GTCCCTTAGCTGCAACTTTTGCTTTTGTTTTCGCCCAGAAAAATTTGTTTCCAGGAATCCTTATGCCCCAAGAGTAAGGAGAGCCTTCTGCATAAGATTGCAGGACTGGAAATGACTTTAACTAGGTTATTTTGGAGAACAAAGGAGTGCCTGAGCTCAAGAAATATCTTCTGATGGATTTTGAACTCAGTGTCTTCAGATGGACCTTGACTCTGGAATAGTAACACTCCGACCCCCCCATTACTAGCCTTTGTTAACTTGAGGACACCATCTTTTGTCCTAGAAGCAAAATGGTGAGGAGACTTAAGGCCATGTGATATGAAGACCTGTCTTAAGAAACTGGGAATGTTTAGAAAAGGAAGAAAGATAAAGTTGTCTTCTGTAAGCCACTGAATGGAATCGAGATTAAGCTTGTTCTTTTATAACTTGCACAGAGAACTAAATTGGGGCCAGTGGGAGGAAATAACAGGAAGGTGAGTTTTGCCTTTTTATAATTTCCCCCCAAAAAAGGTTTGGATCTGGAGGTAAAGATTTTCCCTTTACCAGAGGCATACAAGCAGGGTCAGGACAACTTTTTTTCAGAGTTACTGATGATTCAAGAACCCAACTGGGAAAGATTATAGATGCAGAAGGATTGGAGCTGAATGTGAAATCTTCTCAGTCCCCTTCCAATTATGAGATTACATGATTCCTTTGTATCTTTGGTAGACTTCATTTTCTCGCCTGGCCTTTGACCACCTTTCCCCATAGTTTATAGGCAGTATTGCATAAAAGTTAAGAAAGCAAGGGTAAGGACCAAATTTCCAGGCTTTGAGTCCTAATGCTACTGTGTACCAGTTGTGTGACCTTAAGCAAATTATTTAACTTCTCTGTGTCTCAGTTTACTTATCTATAAAATAGTGATGATAATAATATGTATCTCATAGGATTGTTGTAAGATGACATAAGATACATAAAGCACTTTGGGTAGTGCCTGGCACAATGTAAGCAATCAAAAAATTGAGCTGATTATTAACATCTCTCTCCCTGTCAGTTATTTCTACTTAATTGAGCTGGGCTTCTCTGCTTCGTCCAGATACTCCTTCTCTTAACATACTCCTTTTGGCTATCTCAGGATGCTTTTGGTTTGAAGGAACTGTCAACTCAACTCAAAATAGCTTAAATGATAAGAGGATTTATGACCTCACATGTAAAGAACTAGGGGGAATCCAGGTTGACTAATTCAGGATGTGCCACAGCATCAAGGATCCAGGCTTACTCTCTCTGCTCTACCATCCTCCCTGTGTTGGTAGGCTGTTGCCACAGTCCCTGCAGGCATCATCTGCACACAAGACCACCTTCATCAGAAGATAACTGCCATTTATTTTTCCAGTGGCTTTTTAAAAATATATAAATACAGTAGGAAGCTGTCCTTTGAAGCCACCCACCCAGCAAAGTCCTCTCATGTCTCACTGTTGACAAGTCACTTATCCCTTCCCAAACCCATCACAAAAAGGAAACAATTACCCCCAATTTATCTAGCTAATTAAGATCCACCTCCTAGGTCTCAGGAATATGTTCACCTTCTCTGAGCCTGTGTCCATAGAGGAAGGTAGACCCCAGAAGAACATCTGGGCTAGACTGATGAATGTGGAAGAACAGGGAGATTCGAGTAGGCAGCCAGTATAGTGTTCTACTGTACCCTTTCCTCTGCTGCTTCCTCAGAGTAAGAATTGCTTTGTTTTACACAGCTCTTTAAGAGCCCAGTGATCTCAGTGGCGATGATTGTCAAAATTCTTGAAAATGGATGCACTAATCACTGTTTTTAATGGCTATCTTTAAGAATCCAAAGCTCAAGTTTTTCTGATTCTCCGTGAATGAATTAAACCATGTGGCTTTTTAAAACTTGAGTTGGAATATGTGACCCTATTCCACAGGTGGCTGTTACAAAAGATTTTTTTGTTTGGTTGGTTTTTTCCTTAGTGCTTTGGCTGAGAAACAGTGCTTGGACACCATGAATTGGTCCAGGTGTCCAGGTAGTTGAGCCTTTTCTGACCCACATATGAAGAAAAACTGCAAAGCTGTCATTCTGATTTGAAGAAATATACCTATTTGGTCATTGAAGCCCATCCTGGAAAAAGAAACGACCAGCTGCTTTACATTTTTCAATATCACCTTCTCCTTTTTTCAGTTTTACTGAGATATAATTGACACACAGCTCTGTATAAGTTGAAGGTGTATCACATAATGACTTGATATACTTATATTGTGAAATGATTACCACAGTAAGTTTGGTTAACATCCATTTCCATATATATATTTATATATATAAACCAAAAAAAATGTTTTCCTTGTAATGAGGACTTTTAAGATCTACTCTCTTAGCAACTTTCAAATATACTGTACAGCCATGTTAGCTATAGTCATCATGCTGTACATTACATCCCCAGGACTTCTTTATCTTATAACTGGAAGTTTGTACCTTTTGACCACCTTTATCCAATTCCACCCCACCCCACCCCACCCCTCAGCTTCTCTTTCTGACAGAGAAATCTGTTTGAGGCTATTTAAGCCTAAAGAAGAAAAATATTAAAGGTCTATCATGGTAAAAGAAACAAACTTAATTTTGTGTGACTCTAAGGCAGATTTAGAATCAAGATTGAAGCAGTTTATAGCTTGTTATAGGGAGCAACAATATAACAGTTAAGACTACTTAAGAACTAGCGAAATGAGGCATGCAGTCGTCTCTCAGGAAGCTACAGAAATGAGCTCCTCTTTGGGGATGTGGTGGGAGATTACATGCGGTCATATCTAAGAACTCTTCCAATTCTCATTATTGATGTAAATCAGCTGAGAGATATGGAGAAGGCATGTGCTGAGTTTTACTATATTTCAAACTTCAAAGAATGGCGGCTTGATTTACCTATGGGAGAAAAATAAATATATGTATATATGTATTTCTTATGTACAATCAATGATCCATAAAGCGCTGTAGGTTATAACTCTTTTTATAGAAGCCTCTAGGTATTGAATCAATTAATTAAAAAATAGAATATCGACCTTTTTTTTATTTTATAGTCAGTTTCCTCCAGTACTTCTCATCTTTAAATTCAGCTGTAAGACTATGATTGTGTGAATGACGCTCTGGCCTTTTAAAGGGAGTTTATCTAGCCCATTGCAAACTAAGTCTCCAGGCACCTGCTCAAGAGCTGTCACAAGGTGTACAAAGCAGTGATCTTGCAGACTGACTTATGCCAGGATGAGGTTACCTGTGCTTAAGAGCATTCTGGGTCTTTAACCTTTAAACTAATTTGAAGGAGCAAAAAGTGTCTGGTGTGACAATTTTCTTGAAGCACTGCTGTTTGTCAAGCTCATTTCTAGGGCCACAGGGAATAGACATGTCTGGGAGGGTTTTCAGTCTTATCTTTTTAAAGGAGGGAAAGTATTCAGGATTGAAATACAACCTTTTAAGGAGAAACCTCTACAAACCATTGTTGGAGCTAAGCATGTTTGACTTCAACAGTTGCTTGAGCATGTGAATCTATGTATAGAACATCAACTTTTGTTGGAATGTGTGCTTGGAATGTGTGTTGACTTCATTACAGGATTTCCCAGGTAGCAATAGTAAGTGATAAAGAGCCAGCCACCCTGCACTACAGATGCTCTGTGTCTTTGGGAGGCAGTCGATGACTGAACGCAAATAGTGACTAGCAAACAAAGATTCTCTCTTCCTCCAGGGAGAGACCCAGTCTTTCTAAAGGACAGATGACTATAGAGTTTTTTTCTTCCTTTTTCAGATTGCTGAAGATAAAGGAAAGAATTTAAGATTCTGTAGCTATTGTTTGATTCTGCTGCTTTTTGATGGGGGAGAAGCTTGAAGTTGGTATCAGTGTTGTGGTTTGTGGTAGCTGTGGACGTTCTCCCTTGGGGAAAGGAGAGTGGTCCTCTCTGGTAGTGAATGGAGCTTTATATTATATTTTTCTTCTTTCATGAGAGAGTCTAGCTAGTTTACTCTTTGGAGTGTTCAAGCTGAAAAAGTGAGCAAATTTCTGTAGGGAACAAGGGAGGGCAAATAAAGTGCCAAAAGGATTCACACTACATTGCTTTAGAACTGAATCCTGGTGAATCTCAAAATAATTACACTGAGTAAAAGAATCCTGGTAATGTACCATGAAAACTCTAGAAAATACAGACTAATCTGTAGCGACAGAAAGCAAATCAGGGCCGGCTGAGTGGCTCAGTTGGTTAAGAGCTCGCTCAAGAGTTTGAGCTCTGAGCAACAGCGGTTCGA